ACTACAAACACGGTGGGGATAAACTACTACTGTAGCCACAGCTGCCCTGGGGCACACTGACAGAAGCGAGGCAACCAGTCTGTGCCATCGGCCCCTCCCATCACCACCAACCATTCACACACACACCAGACTCATTCTAGGCAATGGGGGTGAAGTGTCTTGCCTAAGGACACAACAGCAGTTTGGCACTTTACAGCTGCCCCACTGTGGCGGTGGTCCCAGAGGTTAAGTGTCTTGCCCAAGGACACAACAACAGTAGTCAGTTGGAGTCGATGGTGAAAGATGGGCTCGAACCCACGACCCTCTGGCTCAAAGGCCAATGCTCTACCAACTGAGCTACTGTCGCCTTTTGTACGGGTGCTATGATTATATTATACAGTACTTATTTGTCAACCAAAAATAATGATTAATGAAGTATATAGTAATTACTTAAAATATTTTACACCAAAGTTTGGTCTGATTCACTTTTTACAGTGCAGGTACTTCTTGTTCTATTCATGATGGAGACCCCCCGTCTTCCTCCCATTGTGCAAAATAAAATAGTAACGGAATAGAACAGGAAGTGCTCACCCTCACAGTCTCTGGTTAGAGAAACTAGCACAGCCACATTCTCCAACAAGCCACAAACAACAAATGATTTGTATTTTTGATTGTTATGGTCAAAGAAGATACATTTTAAAACATTTAACTGTAAAGAGATTTGAGTGTTTAGCCATCCTTTAAGTAATACATTTTCATATTACTGTAATAATTAGATTTTTGTCATTCCGTTTCTATCTAATCAGCATATCCATTGAATCAGAGCGCTGTCAGAGTATGAATTAAAGAAAGGCCCAAGGGGTACGTTATACTATTTTAATCTGTGAACATCAGAACATAACTGTCTGTGACGGTGCATGATCTGTAGAGTGAGTGATGTCATGACGTTGGCCAAATGTGGAAAATAGACCCCGCCCCTCTGAGTAATTTTACCTGGTTTAGTAATTATTGCTTGACATTATTTTTTCATTATTTTTTCAAACAGCTTGTAAGATTAGTAGCCACAATAATTTTGACGAAAACATATGAGATTAAGCAATGACAACTAAACAGTTTGAGCTTTTCAACATCTGGGTTTACAGTGTAGAGACTGTCAGGGATGAAGCAGACAGAGACGTGGTGCGCCAAACTCTGGAAGTTTATTTAAGTTTCTCTCAAGTTCCAGTGGTTTCCATTGTTTCTTTCTCTCAGAGAGAATAAAGGCAGTACACAGTTTATTTAGTCATTGTCACGTCACACATCGAAAGACATACGTGTCACACAGAGACAGTCACATCATAGTCAAAACATGGAGTCATCATCAGAGTTCTTGTACAGTCCTGCGCGTAGGCCATATTGCTATCTAATACTAACAAGACTTTAGCGTGACGCCCGCTCTCCTCCAATCAAGAACGAGGCTGCGTCCTCTAGCCTCTACAGCGCTGCTAAACACAGTAGCATGTTAGCATAAGTGGCTATAACTCCTCTGGCTGTAACTGCAGACACAGAAAAACAGCCCAAACCACACAACAGTGAGGAAGAGAAGAGGAAACTAAAGCCAAAACATGATCAAAGAAGAAACCAACCCCTGAACATAGCTAGCTTACATCGTATCCTCTGGAGAGACTTGTCTATGGGAGAGACCTGCGGGACCGCCTCAAACTATCTACGCTCAGACTATCTATGCTCGGACTATCTACGCTCGGACTATCTACGCTCAGACTATCTACGCTCGGACTATCTATGCTCGGACTATCTGTGCTCGGACTATCTACGCTCGGACTATCTACGCTCGGACTATCTACGCTCGGACTATCTACGCTCGGACTATCTACGCTCGGACTATCTACGCTCGGACTATCTACGCTCGGACTATCTACGCTCGGACTATCTATAGTATGTATTCTATATTTGTTGTGTCTTGACTGTTGATTCTCTGATCTGTGTTGGGGATTTCAACGCTCCTCTGAGATAACTACGGTTGTGATTTGTCTTGTTTTCAGATCTGGATTTTTGTGTTTTCCTTTTTCTTAAAATACACTTTACTTTCAGTCTTGGGTTTTGGGTTCATTTCACCCTGAGACAGACAAAACGATCTGTTTTTCTAGTTTGTCACAGGGACATTTTGAAAGAGGAGTAATAGGACTGAAGGACATGTGGTCCAGACTCAGAGTGTTATTCATTACATGTTTTCCTTCTTCTGTGTTGTACAGGGTCGATATGTTGGAAAGACTCTTTCTCTGTCACACACACAACACACAGATACACACATGCGCACCCACAACACACACACAACACACAGATACACACATGCGCACCCACAACACACACACAACACACAGATACACACATGCGCACCCACACACAACACACAGATACACACTTGTCTACCCACAACACACACACAACACACAGATACACACGTGTCACCCACAACACACACACGACACACACACACACACACACACACACACACTGGTTGTAGTGGAGGCAGTTTGCTGCTTCAAACAAAGACACACGTTTTGAAGTTACAAACTTTGAAGATTACTTTGACTTGGTTTTGTGTTGACATCATGCCTGTTCAGTCGATTCACCTGTGTGTGTCCTTGTGTGTCCTTGTGTGTGCCCCTCTTGTTGTCGGCCCATTGTGTTTTTGTGGTTTGATTTTGGAGTTGCTTTTGGATTTTGTTTTTTCTTCTGTTTGGATGTTGTTATTTTTGTTTAGCATATCAAATTTCTCCTGTGTGAGATCAGTAAAGTCTATCTTATCTTGTATTTTTGTAACCATCGCAAATGTGATTGTGATATTTTTTTTAAGTCTTACTTTCTTATTAATATAAAAAGTACAATTTATAAAAAAATAGTAATTTTTATTAATAAGGTTAATGAAAATTGCCTGAGACCAGTAAGTCATCTCTCTCCACACAATCACGGCTGGGTCGCCATACAGGCCATATGTCATAGGCGACAGTATCTCAGTTGGTAGAGCATTGGCCTTTGAGCCGTCGGTTCGAGCTCGACTTTCACCATCGACTCCCACTGTCTGCTGTTGTTGTGTCCTTGGCAAGACACTTAGCCTCTGGGAACCCCTGATGCCACAGTGGGGCGGCTGCGGCTTAGGCAAGACACTTGCCTAGAATGAGTCTGGTGTGTGTGTGAATGGTTGGTGGTGGTGGGAGGGGCCGATGGTACACACTGGTTGCCTCGCTTCTGTCAGTGTGCCCCAGGGCAGCTGTGGCTACAGTAGTTTATCACCAGCGTGTATGGAGTGAAAGAATAATGACATGTGAAGTGTCTTTGAGTGTCCAAAAAAGCACTATATAAAAACGATGCATTATTATTTGTATTATTATATATGTGGGCAAACTGGAGCACCCAGAGGACCTAAACCTTCACAGACACAGGCAGAACATGCAAACTCCACACAAGAAAGGCCCTGTATCAAACCCAGGACTGCCTTGCTGTGAATTCATTTCATAAATTCTTTCTCTAAGTTACCTAATTTTGTTTCTATAAATGTCCACACGTTAAAACACAATCTACATTTTCCTTCTGTGCTTTGCGAGCTCCAACTCATCTGAAGCATCTCTAAAGTACAACACTCTTTTGTCACACAGCGTTACCCGATGCGTCAGAAGCTCTTAGTAAAATCTACAACAGCGTCATTTAAATACACACAATATCAGCTTGCAGCACTTTTCATAAAACGTAAATAAAATCTGTGCCCTTTTGGTGCCCATTGGAAATGCAGCGAGCGTGGTACCATACTGACCCGCTTCCACTTGACTGAGTAGAAAGCCTGACAGAATCAGGGCTCTATAAATTAATAATGGAGACTGATGTTCATGTTAGAGGGGACCACTCCTCCGGTCCCGGCAACAAAAGATGAAAAATACATAGGCCTGGTTTTGTCTGCAGAATTATGAACAATGAAAGGCATGTCGCACCATTTGAATTCGATAACCTTAATTGTAGATTGATTGGAGGGTTTGGTATGTTTTGGTGAAGTCTTTCAGCTTGGGTGGGATACGAACAGGTCAGTGTATTTTTGCGGTAAAACACACAAATGATACAAGTCTAGTCTATACATGTGAATTATTAAACAATGTCTATCTGTTTGTTCATCCCCATATGATATTTCACTTTTGGGTTGACGCTGGAGACAGTCATGGGTCAGATCCGTGGAGTGGTTCACAGTTTATGGGTATTGTGTATCATAACAACCATAATCATATTTTGTGTAGAGTTGAAGAACATTTCCAACTTGATTGCGGTACTACAAAGAATACTACTTGATGGGAATGAATTTTGGACAACAAACTGTAATCTTCATAATAATAATACTTTTTTGGAGGCCACAAGCTTTTCTGAAAAATACTAAAATAAGTGAATAATACTAAAATATCAAACTGCTCAAGAAATGTCACTTTTTTCTGTTCGCAAAGATGTATTTAGTATCTCGCTTGCTCAAATAAATAGTTTCATCAGATATTTGATAATTTTGACTACCCTTTAACATATTTACACAAAGCACATATTTAAAGACATTTATATACCTTGATAATACATTACTCACGATCTCATTTAAATCTAGACATGCACCCGTAGAGCGCATTCCTCCGCCAAGAGGCACAGTGCCCTCCATCTAAAACAAATCCAGGTCACTTCCAAAATCAAACATTTGTGTAACTTCATCTCAGAGATTCACTGAGCATGTAAGAACAGTCCTTCTAAACGTTTTGAGGTGTGCTGCTGACTAGTCGATTACAAAACTACTAACTAGATTGAGAAGATCATTTATAAGAAAAAGGCTTTTTGAGCTCATTCCAACTGTTTTTAAAGGAGCCACTTGATCACACGTCACGCAGAGGGCAGTTGTAAATCATGCATCACGTCACAAATGTATTCGTGTGACCCTTACAATCTTCAGAGGGGAAAAAAAACCTCCAAAACTACCGATACTAAAAACAATTCAAACTTACCTTTTGTGGAGCAAGGATGCAATTCCTCCCTTGAATTGGAAGTTATAGATCACATTACTGGTCATAGGATGTTGGGAGTGTTCATGGTTTTTCTGTGCTGTCTCAAAGGGGGACGAAAGAAAAGAGAGAGAGAGAGAGAAAGCAGCGGTGGGGCAGAGCGAGGGGGGAGGGAGGGGTGCACATCATGGGACGGCCCGAAGAGAGGCACTGGGACTCTCACACTGACGACATGTGCACTTCCTTTCGGCTCTGATAAGCTGGCACAGGACGTTAAAGACTCTTCCTTAACCCACCTTTCTACGTGGGTCTAAAACACATGCCTCTCGCTGCAGCATGAACATTTGTTTCTCAACACGCAAATATTCAACCATTCTCACATGGAGCGCTACATTGGCCCCTGTTCAGAAAGAGGATGAGCCAGACATTTGCTTTCATTACAGATGATTTTACCCATTAGCAGTGAGATTCTGAGAAAAACATGCAGTATTTTTCACAAAAGATCAATGCATCCCCATCAGTATGAATTTAGACCTGTAAACCTGTTTTAAGCACTTGAAAACATTCCAAAATCACAAAAAATATATGATTGGCATTTTTCTTGGTGTGTAAAGGCCATGTCAATCGGCCAGTCGAGGTAATGTCAATGATATGCTCATTTATTTTCTGTGGTTCTCTAGTTACTGCAGGGACCCATCACTTAACTAAAGACAAATACTGTCCTCTACTTCCACTCAAGTGGCCTACACCTATTTATGACTTGCCCCAAACATATAACAAATTACAAACTATCTAATTGGCACAAAGATTCCCAGACCAGTAAATTTTTTCCATACAAGGGCTGTTAATTAAGAACCAACAGATGCCTGATGCCATAAGGTATAAGGTATGGAGTCCACACCTGCAATGTAAATAGATTCATCATCATGTTATTGGAGACATATTATGCTAAATCCACTAAATTGGTCTTGGATATGTTGTTTTATGTGTTTAGGGTCTGTATTTGCACAGAAAATCTGATTTAAATGCATCTAGGTGACCAGCATTTCTCAATTCCGGTGAACGTGTCGTCTGATTGGTTTAAAGCATACTATTGCGTTTTGTACGGGTATTGCATCAGAGTATTTCACGGGAACAAGCCCAAAGGTAATATAAGGTCAAAACTTCCGACTAATTGCTGGTCCAAGCGCAGCCAGCAATATGAAGTTCGGTAATTGGTTGTGATAAACATATTGGGCCTGCACTGGTCTCTCCCATGGATCTATAGGGTCTGCACTGGTCTCTCCCATGGATCTATACTGGTCTAGACTGGTCTCTCCCATGGATCTATACGGGTCTGCACTGGTCTCTCCCATGGATCCATACGGGTCCGTCGCTGGTCTCTCCCATCGATCTATTACAGGACCGCGCTGGTCTCTCCAGTCTATGGTCTATTCGGTCTCTCTTCAGTCCGCGCTGGTCTCTGCACACCGGTCTCTCCAGTCTTCAGTCTACGGCCTCTCCTCGGTCCGTGCTGGTCTCTGGGCGCCGGTCTCTCCAGTCTATGCGGTCTCTCTTTGGTCCGCTCTGGTTTCTGTGTGCTGGTCACTCCAGTCTCTCCTCGGGTCTGCATTGGTCTCAGCGCTGGTCCGCGCTGGATCTCCTCAGGGTCCAAAATATTTTGAGAGTAATCTCACAACATTTTGAGATTCATTTTTAAATTAATACATATTATATTTTTAAATTAATCTCATAACATTTTTTGTTAATCTAATAATTTTGCTAGTTTGACTTTATTCTCATAATATTTTGACTTTAAAGTCAACATGTTTTATAACTTTATTCTCAGTCTGACAAAAGAAGAAAAAAGGGTGACTCTTTGGCTCCGTAACTCTGCAGTCCCTTATATGGGCATTAATGGGCGGTTACCTACGCTAAGTACCTATGCTAATGAATCACCGGGCACGCGCGCTCTACTTACGAGGAGATGGCCTTCATCAATCTAAGAGAACAGCTGCAAACAATTCAGAGGCTTACGAGCGCGTTGATGAATCCCACGTAGGGTCTTCTTAGAAATCTACTTAAGAACGACTTGAGAAGAAATTTAAGAAGTTTCTTAAGAAGTTATTTGTGAATGAGGCCCATTGTCTTTTGCACCAGCTTCCAGCCAAAGAACCTCAGAGAAGCTTGTGGCTAAACTTTATATATAGGGGCAATGTGCCGACTAAGATGCCTAAATTGCTGACTGCCACCTAGAGCCCTGCACTTGAGCCCTTGGCCCGAGGGCCCCGACGGCCCGACAGCCCGAGGGCCGGGCTTCGGGCCGATGACCGCATAATGACCTCGGACACGGGCCGGGCTCGGGCTCTTCATTTTCAGAGCGGCAGAATAGATTTACGAACGCACCCACTGAATATAGCGTTCTCTCACGCTGTAGTGTTTGTTGTTCTGTGTAGTGTTGTCATTGACGGCACATAGCATTACTTATGTAATGTGCAGATGTGTTGCAGCATCGGGGGCATCATACAGATGCGGCCGTTCACTCTGCACCACTCCGCACACACAGAACTCATTGCAACACATCACTACCATGTATAACTCCGCCCTCTAGCTAAGTCTGCGTTCATATCAGTGCGCGGCACTATATACTACGCTAAAACATTGTTATGGGAGGTTACAAAAAAAAAAAAAAAGGCGGGCTTGATGCGGGTTTCGGGCCTGAAAATTCAGAAACCATATCGGGCCGGGCCGGGCTGGGGCGCCACCCCCTCGGGCCAGGGCCGGGCTCGGGCCCAGATAATAGGCCCGTGCAGGGCTCTACTGCCACCCCCCGACCCAGAAATGGATAAAGGGGAAGAAAATGGATGGATGGATGTTGACTCCGCCTCATAGCCATTTTGGCGCACTTTGGCGTGATGTAACTATTAGAAGAAGAAGACTCCTTTAGGTTCAATCTTTTGGGTTGCTATGCCAATTCCAAGCCCCGTAACAGTGTGTGTGTTTGTCTGTCTGTGTGTGTTTGTGTTTGTGGTTGTGTTTGTGTGCGTGTGTGTTTGTGTTTGTGTTTGTGTGCGTGTGTGTTTGTGGTTGTGTTTGTGTGCGTGTGTGTTTGTGTTTGTGTGCGTGTGCGTGTGTTTTTGTGTGTGTGCGCGTGCCCTGCGCTGCATTGGAGCGAGGACATTTTAACAGGGAAAACTTTCCTCAGATCTGTGAAAATAGTGTCAGGGCAGGGCCTCGCATTTCCAGTTCGCACAGGGCCTCGCACCCCCCTTGCGACGGGCCTGGCATCAAAACATTATTTTTGTCATGAAAACGTTAAATAATAATTCTGAAAACCTTTGTGCATGTGTAATAATAATGTACATGTATAATGTGTTGCCTTGGGAAAGTGAAAGTGTAAATGCACACTGTTCTCCTCCTTGATGCCCGGCTGATAAAACTGGTTTCTGTGGTTATAATCGAGGATTAATCATTCTCCTGGAAGCCTCACGTCAGCCTCACTGAAAGAGGGTAAAGGCTAGTGGGGAAAAGCAGGAATGAAATGAGGTTTCATTATTCATGGGGATCTATATAATCCCTATTGTAATATTGCTCTAGCACATCTTTTTCAAAGACCATATGATAAGAATGAACCATCTACAAACAAGTTTTGTTTATGGTTCGATTCTACAACATTTAATTGTTCGTTTGTCTTGTGGGCTGATAACAAAGAAAGGGTAGTATGCCCCTGGTAGTTTTTGAGAAGGCGTTTTTTATGATCAAATTACCAAAACTGAGGAACTCCTCAGTTTTAAAGTAATTATGGAGGATGTTTTAATGCCGTGATGGATCTTGCACTTTACAGATTGTAAGGATTCAAGCAGACAGAGACGGATCGTGGTGTGCCAAACTCTGGAAGTTTATTTAAGTTTCTCTCAAGTTCCACTAGTTTACTCTGTTTCTTTTTCTCAGACAGAATAAAGGCAGTACACAGTTTATATAGTCATTGTCACGTCACACATCGAAAGACATACGTGTCACAAAGAGACAGTCACATCATAGTCAAAACATGGAGTCCTTGTAGAGTCCTTGTACAGTCCTGCACGTAGGCCATATTGCTATCTAATACTAACACCCTCCCCTTTGATCACATAATCACATGTGATCACTCAAATCGATCAATCAATAAAGTGGAAAAAGAAAAAAAAAAAAAAAAAAAAAAAACTTTACAAAATTATTAAAAAACAAAGAAAATGTATGCATTAAACTCATAATCATCAAATCAATATCAGTGGATTTTATCCTCTATCCTGGGAAAAAATAAACAAACAAAAACAAATCAAAAATAAAAACAAGCAAACACTATTGGACACACAAGAACTCAGCAGATTCAGTCAAAACACAGACAAAAACGAGCTGAGTCTCAAATTTGAAGCTAATTTCACTTTTATTACTCTATACTTTTATTCTAATGCTAATTGTTTACACTACACTTCACTTATTTCACTGTATTATTTTCACTTTTTAATCTTAGACTGTGTACTTTACTTTTACTATTCACTATAGTTTAAAACTATTCTAATCTATTCACAAATATGTTTGTATATTTGCTTCTATTGAGCCATATTCTTAAACATTTTAATCTAATAAATCTCTCTGTGGTTTTATACTCTCATTATCAGTGGCATATTATCAGTGGGATTTTGCTCCATGTCTACTCTCATTCTCAGGAATAAAACTGTGAACACAGTAAGGCAAATGGTCAACATTTACACTTCTATAGTGGTCAATGATTTATTACTTTTTATTATCTAAAGATATTATTGTCAGGCAGTTTGGGATGAATGTACATCATTAATCAAATTAGTATTATCCTAATAGTAGCTAATTAGGTTTGGGGTTGGGGTCAGTTATTCTACAATGGTATTTGTGCTGGAAACTTCTCAATATCTAAATATCTACTATTGTGTTTTTGGGCTACACCCAAATGCATCAAAATGCTTTTAAATGCTTTTGAATCTCTCTTGGTTCTAATCTATCTCATTGATCTAGGCTACACTCATATAAACTTTTTGCATAGTCAACATTCACTCATGTTTGAACACAAGTGAATTTGGCAAGTATCTAATAAAACTGTAAGTAACTTTATCTACTTTTGAAGTAAATGCTTGTGAAATGGTCCCTTTACCATTTGATATTAGCACTGGCTAAGAATATTCTCTATTTTTGAAAGCATCTATGGTTGATGCATTTATCTATTCCTATTTTTACTCTAT